GGCTGAGAAAAGAGGCTCCTGAGACAGTCCAACACAGAACTGCAGGGTGTAAGATTCTGGCAGGGAAAGTATATGGAGTGACATGGCCAAGTGGCAGGCATAGTGTACAGAAACATCTGTGCAGAGTATGAGCTGGAGACCCCAGGGTCAAGGTGGGAAACACCTCCAAAGGTTATGAAAAATGACCGAGCCAAGATCCTGTGGGACTTCCAGATACAGACAGAATGGTGATGGCGAACCAACCAGACATAATGGTGGTGGAAGTAACAGAACAAAGCCGTGGTAGTAATATCAGGAAAAAGGAACATGAGAAACTACAGAAATACCAGAGGCTCATGGACGAGCTAAAGAAGGTCTGGAAGGTGGAGGCGTCAGTGGTGCCGATGGTGATCGGAGCACTCGAGGCTGTAACCCCCAAACTGGATGAGTGGCTACAGCAGATACCAGGAAAAACATCAGACATCTCAGTTCAAAAATGTGCAGTACTAGGAACAACAAAGATACTGCGCAGAACTTTCAAGCTCCCAGAGCTCTGGTAGAGGATATACTTGACCTGGTCACTGTTTTGATAATGACCCTGTAACTAGGTCTGGTAGCATGCATGGACATTTATTTATGTTAATGCCAAACTGAGGAATATTTGAGAAGGCAGGTTACAGACACTCCACCAGAAAATAGTTACACACTACATAAACTAAAATCTAGTCAAGTTAAAATTAAATTACTTGAATAAAGAAAGCTTTATCATGATTTGAGTAAATTTCACTTGACAAGTAAAATGATCTATCAATGGAACAAGGCTTCAAATGTGAAAATACATCTTGCTACACTTAAGATATGAAAAGCACATCTCTTAAAATACTTAAAACAAAATCTATTGTTGCCTGCATTAAAAAATACACACTTATTCCGCTGGTAAATTTTACTTGTCAATTGAACCTAGTCAAATAAAATAAAATGTTCTTAATTTAAGTAATTTTAACTTGTCTATAGTTTTTTGCAGTGCATAGAGTCTAGCATCTTTTCATTCAGTTTCTATGACAAACCCATAAAATATTTGCAACCATTGCATTGGATAGGGGTAAGTTTCCAGTCAACATTTGGTTGCTGGACTTAAATTGGATCTTCTCTCTAAAATGATGGTCTCATTGCTCTTAAGTAGCCAAATACGAAATTCAAAGAAAATGACTTGCATAATGAAATATATTTGGGCTCAAATTTATGCAGTGTGACATTTAGTCCTACCCAGTAACATTTACAGCACTTTAGAAGATTCACAGCTGCCAAGTTAATATGTATGAGGACAAGATGGCTCCAATTTCCATGACTAAATCTAAATTGATGAGAACTACTGAAGGCTATGCAACTACAAATAAGTATGGCTTACTTTTTAAATTATTATTAAGGTTTGCTTAATTATCATTGCATTACTTAATTTTACTCGTCTGTTCAGTATTTTGTGTGGAGTTTCAATATAAGTGAAGACTCAACGCCACTTTTGAGTCTTCACTTTTCAGACTGTCATCACATAAACACAGCCTAAATTAAATTCTTATAATTAATAATTTGTTATAAAATGACTGAGACACAGCACTTTATTGTCCTTATTGTCCTTAGTGTTTTCAGGAGGAAATCTGTGTGCATACAGTGACGCAAAAGTGTATGAAATTGGGTACGCCAGGCGGCATTCACTTAAAGCAACAAGGGCATTTTTGGACATACAGAAGTTTTCACGCCACACATTTTCATCAGCTACTTCTTCCACAAAGTTGTCCCACCATCGACAGGTTCTCCAAGGTCTCATCCATAGGCGTCTTGCTCACCTGCGACAAACTGGTGCATCCAGAATTTGACAGAGGTAATTGCAGATCCTTCTCTGTTCACTAATAGTATCTCTGTATATTCTGTACATTTGTTGGGATGCCTCCTGTATGTTTATAAGGGAAAGCTGCCAGGGCAGCTTGAAGGTCCGACACATGGAAATGATCCAAAATGTTTGTTTCTGTGCACTTTATGTATGTGACGTAAACGAGTACACAGCGTGAGCAGATCTGACCAGAGTTTTGTGTCTTGTTAAGTGTAGACAGAAACACTACGGTGGAGCGTATTCAACTTGTCCACTCTAAACGGTGATTTCAGATTTTTGAGTTTTTATGCCCCAAAAACGCTGTCACCATCTAAACAAAAGACACTTCAGATAAAATACTTTGTCGTTTTTACCCACAAGCATTCTCCTGTAAATTTCGCGCCCTAAGATGCTTCAAACAATACATATCTGGTTTGCCTAGTAAGAAATAAAAAGTTACATGATCCATGGCCCATCCCCGCTTAGGGCACTGTTCACATGCTGGGGCAAGAACGTAAATTCGTATGTGAATTTATGTGTTATTTTAGTCACTCCGGGCGCCGCTTCACTCTGGAGCATTTTTCAGGTTTTGCTTATGGGCAGAGTAAAGCTTTGAGGGGGTGTTTAATGGCACTTGAATGGCCACATTTTATAAAGTAGATAAGAAAATGGCTTAATATAGGCCCTTTAAAAGAAAATAGATAATAATCAGCTTTTGGTGTGCACGTATCCACAAATGGTGAATAAACATGCCCTGATTATTAAGGTCATATAGGAAGCCAATAGTTCCAACCAGGACACGGTGGAGCGCAGGGGGGAGGAGAGAGGGGAGGGCCAGGTGTTGTCATATAGAAAATGAGCAGTGGGATGGGAGAGGAGGAGGAGGGGCTCTGACAGTGATGGATGAAGAGAGAAGCGTTCAGAGATGGCTCTTCACCAGGAACAGGTCTATGGGGGTCAAAGCTGCTTCAGACATGCTCTCTCTGTTTTTCCCCCCTCTCCTTCTCTATCTCTATCCATCCCCTCCCAACCCTCTCTCCCTCTTCCCTCTCTTCATCCCTCCCTATCTCTCCCATCAGTCTCAATGCCACTTAATATCTCCTTTTACCATCCTCTCACTCTAACACTGACAGAGCACCAAAAGGAATCAATGCCAAGTTTGGATTCTGACTTTACTAGTCACCTATAGGCAAATTGAATTCCCCCAAAAGAATCGGATTGTGGTTTTGTCACACTGAAATCAACACTTTTTTATCTTTATTATCAATGAGGAGCCGATGTCACATATTGGCAGCCATGCTTCAGTCAGTCCCAGGGCCAATAAAGTATTATGGCTACAGTAGTAATATATCACCACTATATCAAGAGAATGAATAATGCAATGAGAAAAGTCCTCATATGTCCAAAAAACATAATTATATTTTAGTGTTTTTGTCAGCCAACTTCATAGTAGAGATCGACCAATATGTTTTGTTTTTTTTTTCATGGCTGATGACGATTGTCTAGACTTCAGAGAAACTGATGGGTGGTAAATTCTGCCAATATTTTTGGACAAATATGTAGGGACAATATGGATTATTTTCCATTTTCAGCAGTTATCTTTTCACACTAAAGCTTTGTGGAGATTTAGAGCAGATAGCTGATACAATAAAATGTACAAGTATCAAGCCTAATATATTGATCTTTCTCTACTTCATAGCCTCACACTTACAGCACAGTAAGTGGCTAAAATACAGTGTAGTGAAAAAGCAATCTGGTCTGGGGTTAACAAAACATTTAAGAGACCAGGGAGTTTGCAAGAGAGAAAAAAGTAGTTTCCAGCTACTGTGACAAATACTTTCCCACTTTTGAAGTGATTAATTAAGAGTTTCATAAACGAGACTGTCATGAATATCACAATATAGAGAACATCAAGACATAATCTTAATAAAGTATCCATTAACATAATATTTAAAGGTGTATTGTGTAACTTTTCTGGTGAAGGGTCTGTCAAAAGCTATTGTCCATGGAGATTGCTTTTCTGGTAGGAGTGTGCAAAAATATCAAAATATCAATATATCGTATCGTTTAATGTGATGATACAGTATCAAATTCATGGGCTGCTGTATCGCTATATCGCCAAGAGTATTATTTGGTTTATTTGCCTAAATTATTTTGTCACAGTACTACAATTTTGTTGTTTGTTTAGTGGAAGCAAACTCGTTTATGCAACACATTTGACATTTTCACTGTTTTGATGACTAAAATGGGCGTTGTTCATATTAACTTTGCACAATAAGTGGTTTAACAAAGACTTTTAGTATCACAGCTATGATTTAGCCATTATTTTTTATTGAAACGCATCAAATCGCTTTGAAATATATTGAATGTATCGAATTGAAAGTGCACTGTATCGCGATATGTATCGTATCGTGGCCTGTGTATCGAGGTATGTATCGTATCGGCAACTTCTTAATGATACCCAGCCCTATTTTCTGGAATGTTCCACAGTATGGCATTAAACCTTTCTATCATCATGGAGATCAAACCAGAATAAGTTACATGTTAGATCTGTAACAAGCAGGTAATGGACCCCCCCAACAAATATGGCACCTTTAAGCTAAAAGACCAATAACAGGAAAAAAGTTAGAAAGGTAGTTATCCACTATTTGAACTCATAAATTCTCTTTACAATCCAGGGTGGGTTTTTTTTGCATTTGATTGTGCAGACTGACCTCAGACCACCTCCAACTTTGTCCATCTTCCAGCTGCACCAAAACAGTCTTAACAATCGAACAATAGCTGTCAATATGCTTCGAGAAAGATTAACTAAGGACTTTACTGCGTTGGCATGGAACGTATTTAAAATGCCAGTCTGCTTGTCCAAGAACAGTGGATTTACGCAGACGTGCTCAGGCTTGATTAAACGTGATGTTTGTGGGCATAAAATACAGCTTTAGTGAATGGGAATAGGAGCCTACGCTGCATGTGCCCAAGATCTTAATTGTGTCAATGATTAGCCCTGCGCACAACACTTTCCTTATGATATTTATAGTAGTGTCCAATTTTCATTATACTCTTCATTACTGGANTTCATACAATGTACGCGTGGAAGGGGCTCTAGCATTTTGAATAGTCATGACAACGTTATGGGGTAAGCCACTCGTTGTCATGTTCAACCCCTCACGGGCCAGGCCCAAAGAGCCAGCCGCTCTGGGTGGGGATGAAAAATCTCTCCCTGTGCTTGCGTCAGCAAGTCTCTCTGTAGCGGAAGGGGCCAAGGTTGTGTATAAAGCATTTGCGTTATTTCCGCTAACCAGTGTTTCTGTGGCCAGTTGGGCGCTATCAGAATAACCGTGAGACCCTTGCTCCTCACCCTGTCCAGCGTTGGGGATATTAGTGCCAACGGGGGAAACGCGTAAAGCAGAGCGCGTGGCCATGGGTGCGCGAGTGCGTCCACCCCCAACGGGGCGTCCGCATCGTTCAGGGAAAAGAACAGGGGACACTGGGCGTTCTCTCTGGACGCATATAGGTCCACTACTGGGTGACCGTAGCGTTGCCAGATCTGTTTCGTTACGTTTGAATGTAGTCTCCATTCTCCGTAACGAGGGTGACCCCGCGACAGCAGATCCGCCCCTCGGTTCTCTACTCCTGGCACATGTGTGGCTTTGAGAGAAAGCAGATTGACATGGCTCCAGAGTATCAGTCTGTGTGCTAGCCTGTGTAACTGAGGAGAGCGCAAACCCCCTTGTTTGTTTATGTAGGCCACCACTGTTGTGTTGTCCGTCCTGACTAACACGTGAGTATTTTCCACGTAAGGTAGAAAATGCTTCAGAGCTAGGAAAACAGCCATCAGTTCCAGAACATTGATATGTACTGCTCGTTGGCTCGAGTTCCATTGACCGTTCACCGATCTGCCCTCGTGTGTGGCACCCCAGCCCCACTGAGATGCATCTGTGGTTATTACCGACCGAGCACATATTGTGCCTAATGGCACGCCCTGTGTCAGAAAATTCGGTCTGCTCCATTGATGTAGGGTCAGCGCACAATCTGAGGTGACTGAGATTTTGCGGCGAGCGTGAATGTGTGGATCCAGTCTGAGTTTGGATACCCAGCGCTGGAAACCCCTCATATGTAGCCTGCCTAGGGGGACAGCAACTAGAGCAGATGCCATCAGACCTAGGAGCCTGTGACAGTCTTTTAATCTCACGTACTTTCCCCTGCGAAACTGAGCGAGACATGCGCGCATAGTCTCCGTTCTGTCCTGTGATAACCGCGCTCTCATCACGGTTGAATCCAGTGACAGACCGATAAAGTTCACCGACTGAGAGGGGAGCAAGACACTTTTCTTTAGGTTGAACCTGAACCCCAGCAATGACAGATGTGTCATCACGCATTCCGTGTGTGCAGTTGCCTCCTGTTCTGACCCGGCAGCCAGGAGGCAATCGTCCAAATATATAGCCAGACGAATCCCCCTCATCCTGAGTGGTCCTATTGCCGCATCTGCACATTTCACAAACACACGAGGACTTAGTGCCAAGCCAAAGGGCAGAACTAGATACTCGTAAATTACCCCCTGGAAGGCAAACCTGAGAAACTTCCTGTGTGGGGGGTAAATTTGAATGTGGAAGTATGCATCCGCGAGGTCCAGGGTCGTAAACCAATCTCCTGGACGCACGAACTTCAGAAGTGCTGCATGTGTCAGCATTCGAAACCTGTATCGTCTGAGATACTTGTTTAGTGCTCTTAGATCCAATATAGGTCTCATGCCTCCTCCCTTTTTCGGAACAACGAAGTACCTCGAGTAAAAAACCGCTTTGGCTTTGTGCCGGAGGAACAATTTGAATTGCTTTCTTTTCTAACAGAGACGTAATCTCTGCTTGGAGAAAGCGAGACGCTTCTCCTGCCGCCTGCGAGTGTAGTATTCTCGAAAAACCGAGGCGGGGAGCGTGCGAACTGTAACCTGTACCCTTTTTCGACTGTTTTGAGCACCCATTCTGACTTTACACACGTTCGCCAGTGTTGAATCCGCTGCGCGAGCGTGCCTGCGACACAGAGAACATCGGCCGGTGGAGCAATGCTGCCCTCTTGTGTAGGGAAGCCTTGCTGCCCCGCGCAGAGAGGGCGCGTTTGCACCGTCTGACCCACTGAGGGCCTCGAGTGACTGCCTCGCAGTAAGAATTTGTTTTTTAACAGTGAATCTTTTATTTGCAGTGCCCTCGGTTCTAGGCCTGGATGCACTGAACGAAACACATTTATTAAAGGGAACAGTGTGTTTGTGCTTGTCACAGTGGAGGGGGGTGCAACGGAACATTGTCCCGGGACTCTAGGTCCCGAGCCGCAACGGCAGGCTCCCGGGACAGACCCCCGTGCTGAAGGAGAGGGGCGTGCGTCTGGCAAACACGCTTTACCTCTCCCGACAGCGAGCTAGGTAGTGCGCTTGGCTCGCTTCCCCGAACGTGGTCGAGGCGGAGCTGGCTGGCTTCCCTGCTGATCCACTGGTGTAGCTGGCTTGTTAGTCCACGAATTCCCGCCCTCAGCCTTCGGTTGCACTGCGGGTCTGGGCTGTGGAGTGGGTCGTTTCGGAATCCTATAGCCAGGTGTAGGTCTGGTTACCACCTGTGCGAAGGATGGCCTTGGAGTCGGAGCAGGAGTTGTCTGAGTTTTCCTGGGTAAGCAGGTCTGCAGAGCTTCTCCCTCCCTCTTTTTCTCCTCACAACGACGTTGCATGGAAGCCATGGCGGGGCCAAATAGACCTTTCGGATCCACCGCAACATCCAGGAGTTGGACTTTCTCACGGTGAGAGAGGCTGGATAGGGTCAGCCAACGCGCTCTCTCTTGTGTCACCAGGATGCCCATGGCTCGTCCCGAAGCCTGCACTGAGCAGCGATGAAGGCGGAGGCATAGGTCGGTCACAACGCATATCTCGTCCCAGAGCTTTTGGTCCGGTGTGCCCGACATCTCGTCCTGGAGCTCGGCTTGATACGCCATCAACATGGATGAGGCATTTAAGGCTCGCACACCGAGAGCCATAGACCTGTATGCCTTGTCGGTCATAGATGACTGGAAACCATCCGTTTTCGACGGGAAGCTCGGCGCAGACGAGGCTGAGAAAGTCTTCTGCCCAGGGTGGAGATGGTGTGCCACCAACGGTTCCACAGGAGGTAGTTTAGAGAGACCATTCTCGTCCATGGCTACACAATCCAGCGTGGCCCCTCCCTGGACCGGACTCTTGGAGGAGTACGGCTTTGACCAGGTGCGGGTGGCTTCCTCCAGGCACTCGGGGAACAAGGGGAGGAGTTGTCTCTCCGTACTTTTCACCCGTGGTAAACGCTTGCCTTCGTACCGGGAACCGGACTTCTCAGGCGGGGCGTTGGGCCATGGAATGTTCAGCTTTTCGGCCGCGCGTTTGCAAACTTCGTGCAGGCTTGTACCGATAGCAGTAGCAGGGGAACCGCCGTCATCGCCTCTGGCATCATCCGTGCTTAGGTCGTGCGGGGTTGCAGGCGCTGCAGCCTGTGTAGACGGCAGGAACGGATCATCATCGTCTTCCAACGAGATGAGGTCGCCTGACCCGTCCAGAGAATCCAACTCAGCATCCAGGGCGTCGCAGCCCGTGTCATCATGCAGTAAGTCGGAGGCTAGCAATGGAACTGCTTCATCCATCATTTCGCCCCAGTCCGCACTGGCGGGAGCCGGGGCGTCCTGGAATTGGCCGCCTGGAGTGGGAAGTTCACTCAGCACGGGGTCCTGTTCGGTCAAGCTAGCATGGCGGGCTAGCCGACGACGAAGACTCTTCATAGGCATGCGGGCGCAGTGAATACAAGTCCCTTCCGGAGCTAAGGCTTCCTGGGCATGTCTCAGCCCCAGGCACTCGTTGCAGCATGGGTGAGTATCTTTTTCAGATATCACATTCCCGCATGGGCATTTTCGGCCCGGCCTTTGGTCCTTCGTGGAAGGAGGGGAAGCAGCCATCGTAATGTGAAATGCTTTGCAGCACGTTGTGGTAGCTTTGCAGCTAAAGTGTAGGCTAACTTTGCAGTTAGTTCAGCTTCGCAGCTAATTCGCTCTTGAAGATAGTTGTTTGGAGACAAGCCTATCTTGCAGATACCGCCAACAAGAGACTAGCGCCCGGCGAACGAGTTGTGAGCTCACTCTGTGGACAGTAGCATAGATCTCAAGCAGTATCAGCGTTATTGCTTCTGAGCGAGAAGAGGTGTTTGAATGACGCTGTGGCGCACGGCAGCTGGTTATGTAGGGGGCTGCCCCTTGTGCGTCAGACGTGGCCAGCCAATCGGGGCTGGCGTAGTGATAAAGTGCTTCTGAGGGTTACGCGGGGAGGCGTACCCCATATGTGAGATACCGAACGAATGCTTGAAAGAGAACAGTGAATATGTCAAATGTATTGCATAGTTTCCTTCTACAAAATAAGCAACAAAAATGCCGTGCAGTCACAGGAAAAATTGGTTAAAGATACCAAAAAAATGCTCGTGGAGATATATTGATACAGCAGCCCATGATAAAAAATACTGTATCATCAAATTTAGTATCAAGATACATCAATATTTCGATATTCTTGCACACTCCTAATTACTAACACTGGTCTAAGCACAAATCAACTTTCAGGTTTGTGAACAACCACCTTGCTGCTCCACTGGAATCCCCACCAGCAGTCTAATATTCAGAACCAACCAGGCCAACAACAGCTGAAAATGAGCTTTCTCGAGGTGGTATCACAATACAAGTGATGCAAACAGATGTGTGGATAGATAATCTTTGCAAATGAAAAAAACATAAATCTTAGATATATCGCACTACTTCATTCAAACTTTTTGTCTTGATTTCCTTGCTGTGAGTGGTCAAATGCACTATGAATATCCACGTTAGAAACTCAACGCTGTTACCAAAGAAAATATTAGGTAGAAGAGGACTTGGCAGCGTGTGTGTTCTTCGTGGGAGAGAGACGGAGAGGTGTAATGAATCGGATGCCATTTTGAGCGATGCTGTTTATGAGAGAGAGAGGGAGAGAGAGGAAGAGAGAGAGGGAGAGAAAGAGGAAGAGAGAGAGGGAGAGAGAGAGTGAGGAAGAGCCAGAGGGAGAACGCACTGATGTTGGAGGCGACATGGGAATGCAAAGAATTAAAGCTGGAGTGTGCGAGTTACACTTAACACAATGTGACAGGTGCAAAATGACAGGGTTTGGCTGAAGAACAAGGATCCATGTTACACGCAAATAGACAATTCAACGTACACACCACCCCCTGCATAGAAATGTATGTATGTAGATAAGGTGGACTATTTGATCTAGGGCTGCAAGACAAATCACAATCAAATCAAAGTCAATCTTTGAATAGATAGTATTAACAAATCACAAAGACTGCAGTTTTAGAAGTGCTATAATTTAGTCTTGCTGCATTGATAATGTTGAACAAAATCCGGTTATTAAAAAAAATATCAAAAATCTGCAATGCCTGTCAGAAAAATTGTTAAATATTTTTTTCCCAGATCATTCTAGTCCTAATTTAATCTCATCTCACAGTCTCCATCAGTTTTGATATGGGGACAAAACAAAGTCATCCAGGTCTTGGAGTGTGACAGCCTTGAAAACTGCTATTGGACACATTAACCTCAAGGAATTCTGTCCCACCCCAAACAAACACCAAGCAAGGACACACGATCCCCTGTCAATTCAAATATCGGAATTGGAAAGTGAAGGATACGCCCGTTTTAGTAGGAGAGCAGTGCTTGACTTTCCCTATCAAAGCATCCAACTTATATCTTTAAAGAGAGAGACAGATGACCAATGGGATTACACATCTTTCAGTTTTTGCGTTATATGCATTGATTTTTCTGAAGAAACAAACAAAAATGAACAAAGCGCTCCCAAAATAACCCAACCTCTTGTTCCCAGCGGCTCAAAGGCCTTGATGAAAAGAGCAAAAACAAACTTCAGAACGCAGTCGATGTCCATTACAAAACTCCACTAACCTTATATAACTCCAGTCCCTCACACAGCCTGATGAATGAGCTTTTAGTCCTTAAAGGGTCCATATTACACTATTTTCTGATCTGTTATAATGTTCCTGATCACAGACATACCTGGAGTTGTGTTTTTTCATTCACACATTTTGATTGCACAAACTCTCTCAAAAAGAAAACACAGTTCCATGTTCCACCTTCTGATGTCAAGTCGTAATAAAGAAAGCGCTACACACCTCCATACCTTCTTCTGTGTGTGTGTGTGCATGCGTGTATATATATCATCAATGGCAAGGCCCCGACAGATGACGTGTTCAGAGAATGTCTCAGACAGTGGAGTTCAGAAGAAGAGCTGCTGGAGGGACAAGCCCCTACATGGGGCCACCGGAACATAACTGAAGTGACTGATATCAAGAAATCCTACCAGTAGCTTAAGAGGGTTGGTCTGAAGGACAGCACTGAGGCACTTGTCCTGTCTGCACTGGAGCAGGCCCAATTAGGAATAGAGGCCCAGATCTACTAAACCAGAAAAGACCCACTGTGTAGGCTGAGAAAAGAGGCTCCTGAGACAGTCCAACACAGAACTGCAGGGTGTAAGATTCTGGCAGGGAAAGTATATGGAGTGACATGGCCAAGTGGCAGGCATAGTGTACAGAAACATCTGTGCAGAGTATGAGCTGGAGACCCCAGGGTCAAGGTGGGAAACACCTCCAAAGGTTATGAAAAATGACCGAGCCAAGATCCTGTGGGACTTCCAGATACAGACAGAATGGTGATGGCGAACCAACCAGACATAATGGTGGTGGAAGTAACAGAACAAAGCCGTGGTAGTAATATCAGGAAAAAGGAACATGAGAAACTACAGAAATACCAGAGGCTCATGGACGAGCTAAAGAAGGTCTGGAAGGTGGAGGCGTCAGTGGTGCCGATGGTGATCGGAGCACTCGAGGCTGTAACCCCCAAACTGGATGAGTGGCTACAGCAGATACCAGGAAAAACATCAGACATCTCAGTTCAAAAATGTGCAGTACTAGGAACAACAAAGATACTGCGCAGAACTTTCAAGCTCCCAGAGCCTCTGGTAGAGGATATACTTGACCTGGTCACTGTTTTGATAATGACCCTGTAACTAGGTCTGGTAGCATGCATGGACATTTATTTATGTTAATGCCAAACTGAGGAATATTTGAGAAGGCAGGTTACAGACACTCCACCAGAAAATAGTTACACACTACATAAACTAAAATCTAGTCAAGTTAAAATTAAATTACTTGAATAAAGAAAGCTTTATCATGATTTGAGTAAATTTCACTTGACAAGTAAAATGATCTATCAATGGAACAAGGCTTCAAATGTGAAAATACATCTTGCTACACTTAAGATATGAAAAGCACATCTCTTAAAATACTTAAAACAAAATCTATTGTTGCCTGCATTAAAAAAATACACACTTATTCCGCTGGTAAATTTTACTTGTCAATTGAACCTAGTCAAATAAAATAAAATGTTCTTAATTTAAGTAATTTTAACTTGTCTATAGTTTTTTGCAGTGCATAGAGTCTAGCATCTTTTCATTCAGTTTCTATGACAAACCCATAAAATATTTGCAACCATTGCACTGGATAGGGGTAAGTTTCCAGTCAACATTTGGTTGCTGGACTTAAATTGGATCTTCTCTCTAAAATGATGGTCTCATTGCTCTTAAGTAGCCAAATACTAAATTCAAAGAAAATGACTTGCATAATGAAATATATTTGGGCTCAAATTTATGCAGTGTGACATTTAGTCCTACCCAGTAACATTTACAGCACTTTAGAAGATTCACAGCTGCCAAGTTAATATGTATGAGGACAAGATGGCTCCAATTTCCATGACTAAATCTAAATTGATGAGAACTACTGAAGGCTATGCAACTACAAATAAGTATGGCTTACTTTTTAAATTATTATTAAGGTTTGCTTAATTATCATTGCATTACTTAATTTTACTCGTCTGTTCAGTATTTTGTGTGGAGTTTCAATATAAGTGAAGACTCAACGCCACTTTTGAGTCTTCACTTTTCAGACTGTCATCACATAAACACAGCCTAAATTAAATTCTTATAATTAATAATTTGTTATAAAATGACTGAGACACAGCACTTTATTGTCCTTATTGTCCTTAGTGTTTTCAGGAGGAAATCTGTGTGCATACAGTGACGCAAAAGTGTATGAAATTGGGTACGCCAGGCGGCATTCACTTAAAGCAACAAGGGCATTTTTGGACATACAGAAGTTTTCACGCCACACATTTTCATCAGCTACTTCTTCCACAAAGTTGTCCCACCATCGACAGGTTCTCCAAGGTCTCATCCATAGGCGTCTTGCTCACCTGCGACAAACTGGTGCATCCAGAATTTGACAGAGGTAATTGCAGATCCTTCTCTGTTCACTAATAGTATCTCTGTATATTCTGTACATTTGTTGGGATGCCTCCTGTATGTTTATAAGGGAAAGCTGCCAGGGCAGCTTGAAGGTCCGACACATGGAAATGATCCAAAATGTTTGTTTCTGTGCACTTTATGTATGTGACGTAAACGAGTACACAGCGTGAGCAGATCTGACCAGAGTTTTGTGTCTTGTTAAGTGTAGACAGAAACACTACGGTGGAGCGTATTCAACTTGTCCACTCTAAACGGTGATTTCAGATTTTTGAGTTTTTAAGCCCCAAAAACGCTGTCACCATCTAAACAAAAGACACTTCAGATAAAATACTTTGTCGTTTTTACCCACAAGCATTCTCCTGTAAATTTCGCGCCCTAAGATGCTTCAAACAATACATATCTGGTTTGCCTAGTAAGAAATAAAAAGTTACATGATCCATGGCCCATCCCCGCTTAGGGCACTGTTCACATGCTGGGGCAAGAACGTAAATTCGTATGTGAATTTATGTGTTATTTTAGTCACTCCGGGCGCCGTTCACTCTGGAGCATTTTTCAGGTTTTGCTTATGGGCAGA